TATAGTTATTTTGGGCCTAGTGCTCTTTCTTACACCCTTGTCATTATGATCAATTGTCATGTGTCCATCATGAATTTCAGCGTTTGACTCTTTTGTCCCTTCTTCCTCTACACTTGTTACATATAGTATGTTAAAGAAAAAAATAGATGTTGACTTATAGTAATGAAGAATGATGTTATAGCCATGTAACCACTAATTTATTTTAAGTTGTGAACAAATTATTAAAATGTGCTAAAAATAACCTACCAATATAAGCATGGATGAAAAGTGCCTATGAACATCTGATTCAATATTTTGTCAAACATAGTTAACAAGCAACGACTAACTTGACAATGAAAATAGATATTATCATAAAATGATGCAAGCCATGAAAAGATATCAACAGAAGCTTCTTCACATCTACTTCTCTTCTAAATCATGGTTTTTTTCTCCCCCGTTATGGCAAATATTACCACTGCCTCTCCATTAGTAAAATGATATGCAAAAAAAAAATGTTGTAGAATAAGAAATCTTTATATTTTAATGAATGTATTTAATTTATTTGGAACTATTAAAATGAAATTTACTTTTTGAAAAATATGAGTGAAAGCAATAAAAAAATATCTCGAGTGAAACTTTCACAATTTCTGAAGAGATAGTTCACTAATATATATATATATATATATATATATATGCTAAAATAACATTAAAAAAAATGTAAAGCTTTGATTCTATCATAAATGTGAATGTTATGTAATCATTGTTCTACAGAGTACGACAAAAATAGTTTAAAAAGAACTAATTCATTAAACGTTTAAAAGTTAAAAAATAAAAAATATATAAATAAAAATTAGAGAAATAAAGTGAAAAATATAAATTGAAGGGGCGACATATTAATTGTCTTTAATTACTGAAAATATACAATATTTTTTGTCCTAATAAAAGCATAACATATCATAAAGGGATAATTAATAGAATGCCGAAGGGCATCATCGTATTGTGTGGGTTCCAAACAACTATGAACACAATGAGCGCACTTAGTTTATCTTGAGCAATATTCCGCTTACCTTCATAAGCTAGTTCCGTACGTTGTCAAGGAAACATCGTAATTTTTACATGCACCAAAACTACAAGGTGGGAATGAAACCATAGCGATTCGCGTGAATGTCTCCATATTCAAGATGCATGGTATTGCTCCAATGAATTTATCAAACTTAGCTGCAGATAGTTATGGCCAATGTAGTAGCATTAATATGAATTATGATCACAATCACAATATTATGACAACATATTTTTTTTGAACAGATGCAAGGAAAGTGTTCATGTCTCAAAATTACAAGATCGTTGACATCTGATACTAGTAAGTTTCATCGAGAGTGGAATCCGGCTAGTAAGAAAATAAATTAGCATCTATCTGCGAATTTTGTTTTAGAAGTTTCATAATAATCTCCAAGGTTTTAACCAGTAGGTTTGATATGTTCAGAAACGACGACTCAAAATGTAGGCTACGCATGTTGAAAAGACATTGATTAATTAACCAATTATGGTCAAATAAGCGTAACAATTTATTTTTTTTAATTTCAATATTGGCTGCAAAGTCAGCAACTACTTTCACCAACTCCATGTGGACCCAAATTTCGATGTCACGTATCACTTCTTGTGCTGAGATTCAATAGGAAATATTGGATTGCTTTTTTAACCGTGTATTGAACTACTAAAGTAACTCTTAAGTTTTAACGACAAAATTGATTATTGAAGATTATTACACCAATAAAGTCCTGCATAATTGAAGTTTAATAAACCAACACAGTCTAGCATATATAGTTAATAAATAGTTAAATTTTATAAGAATTTTGACAGGAAGCTGAGTTCTTACTCGTGTATCAAAGTAAGAACAAAAAGTTATTGAAAGAAATAAAATTCACTTCAATAACCTCTACATTTTGTAGCAATTAGTTGTTTATCAATGTTAGCTGATAATATCTTTGATATAAACTAAAGCACTTGATTTATAAGGTTTAAATGATTATGTTAAATAAATTAATTATAAATGAATGAAATATTTTTTGTCACCATAAAATAAACATAAACAAATTCGAATTTTTAAATTAATTTAGTGATGTATAAGATTTTAAATAAAGCAACAGTACGAGATTAATTCGAGTGGTAGTAGCGAGAGCTTGATTCCATTTATTGTCAACATATTGTCACAAACGTCTTGATGTAGTTGATCCTATATTGGCTCCATAGTTAAATTTTAACGTTCCTAGAGATGATTAATCTTTACTATCTTACTTGTTTTTCTTTTCTCTCTTTGGATCATATCTTACTTTTTTGCTTTAGCACAAATAGACTGATAAATGAATGAAAATTATATATATATATATATATATATATATATATATAAATCTACGAAATTAAATAAAAAAACATTTAGTTTTTAAAATAAATTAAACTAAACAAGCACTAAATTTATATTTAAATAAGATTTTATGAAGAGAATAATGAGATATTCTGTTTTTAAAAAATATCTCAAAATTAGAAAAAAAAAATTCAAACCTAAGTTGAATCAAACATGTATTGATTAAATATTCATCAATATGGATCGATAAACATTAAATTGAAGAGTTTACATCAATATGTACTAATATTTATTCTTTTAGCACTCTTGTAGTAAATATATAAAATATGCTTTTATAATCAAATTTTTTAATATATGTTGCGTGACACGTACCAGACACGTAAATAGAATTTACAGATAAAATTTTTTATTAAAAATCATAAGATATCACAACATTAATTTGACTAACTTTTATCGTCTTAAACTATATGTCATAAAGTAATTTTTTAGTTGAATTTATTTACTAACTCTTAATGACGAGTGGACAGTGAGGGAGCATACTCGAAATCTTAGTTGGGTTAAGAATCATAAAAGAAACAAATAAATAAAATATCTTCGTGTTATTATCATCTTTGGAAATTTGTGTAGAAACGCATGGCAGATCGATGACCCAGTAAATTCTAAGCTCTCCCTTGATTGCGGCAGGCTGGCTGAAGATTCTTGCAAGTTGTAACGATTTTAAGTTAGTGACTTAAAGTAACACTTTAAAACTTTGTCTTCTTACTAAGACTTTGATGCAGCACATTTGTTTTCAGGTTATAAAATTAAATTTTGTGTTTTCTTAATACAATAAAACTCGTTCTAATAAATATATATGTGATTCAACTACACATTTTAATTATATTTTAACGATTCATTTTTAAATTAATTGGTCAAGTAATAAGTGTTTAAACAAGTACTGGGGATGAAATAAAAATATGCAACAAGGACGAAGCTCTTCTGTAACTTTTGTCACAAGGCCCAGAGAATCTCTCCTTTCTAGGTAGAAGAATTGTATTAGCAGCAAAAGAAGACATTTTCTAAAATGCAACGCTAAACGAGCTCTATTATTTAGAGTGCTGAAAACATATTAAAAAGGGGGAGCCATAAGATAATAGAATTGACCAAAGAAAGAAAAGAGCTTGTCGGTGAGCAAATGATTGCCAAATGCATGTTTTTACATTGTTACTTAATATTCAAGCATCTTGGTTTCATATTGTTTAAAGAACAAGTTAGCCACAGACTTGCGTGAAATTTTCCAATACACGGTTTACTCCCTAGTGTTGCTTTTGACAAAACATGCTTTTATAGCTGTATCAGATTAAACATTCATAAAGATATTAAATTGCAATGTTTATTTAATTTATAAGAGTTTTGATTGCTGATTAATTAATTTACAAAATCTCTTTTTTCTATAGGTTAAACATCATGGAGTCATGTAAAGATAAATAAATTTTTTAAGTTTACATATTGTGTTTAGAAAAACAGACATTCAAAGTTTTATTCTCCTAAATAGACTCACCTAACTCAACTTAAATCACTCACGATTTAAAATATTGAAAGTTTAAGATTAAATATATATATATATATATATATATATATATATATATATAAGTTATCATTTGTCATTTTAAGTACAATAATTGATTTCATATGTTACATAACCTTTGATAAAATGATTTATTTTAGTTGTGTAACATAAATTCTACTGGATCCAAATAACGAATCAAGTTTTCATTCACATAACAAAGATAGGGTGATTATGAAATGTACTGTTCTCTTTTTCTCTCTCATTTACATTAATAAACTTTTCCATCATGTGTGGTGTAATCTATGAAATTATTTTTTTAAATGATAATTTGATTGACAGAAATAAATAGTTAGCGCTACTATTTAGATGTATTTGATAATTCGTATTATAATCTTAACAAAGGAAATAAGTTTTAATTCTTTATGATTGTTTTTCTTTAGAAAATCATGCAAAAATTAATATATATTGTTTTCTGCTAATATTTATATCTTATTTGATTTTCAGAAAGTAAATACACTAAATGTAAATTTAGTTATTATAAATTACCTGGTATCTTCGTCTTTTGTGATTTTACTATTAAAAATTGATTATTTTAGACAAATCAAATGAAATAAACTATCTTAAATTAATTTTCACCCAACATAAAAAATTATTTCATATAATTAATATTATAATAAGCTATAATTAATTATTGTCATAGCATGCACTAATTGATTGAAAAAAATACTTTATTTTTTCTTTTACATTTGTCATAGCATGCAAACTATGCAAAATGTAAATATTCTTAGGCGCCTAATATTATGATTTATCTAGCCAACTTATTAATTATGAGTATATGACCTAGTTCTACAAGTTTGTTAAGTGTCAATCATTATGGTTTAAATTTTCCTCTCCGTGTCCCCTAGTGTACCCACTTCATATTACAATCTTGATATATGTTAAACTATGTCTAGTTGACACTTCTAAGTATTAATAACCAAGGAAAACTTTATCTAAAGAAAATTATAATGTAATAAATGCATGACGCGCTTTCATTTCTATATATACACATATCACCTAGATGTCAATCACAAAACCAAGCCAAAAGAAGATACAACAAACTAATCAACCATGCTTTCTACTACTAATTATTCCCTACTAGCAACCATCTTCTTGGTGCTAACCTTTCTTTTACCTTCAAATGGTCAATTAAATGCAACTTTCTATTCTAGCACATGCCCCAATGTGTCATCCATCGTGAGGAATGCTGTTCAGCAAGCTCTACAATCTGATTCCCGAATTGCTGCAAGCCTCACTCGCCTCCACTTTCATGATTGCTTTGTCGATGTAAAATCCCAAAATCAAAAACCTCCCATTTTCGTTTTTTTATCTTTGTCTCAAGAATAAGTTTTATTATATTGATTAGTGTTTTGTGCATTGCAAAATAACTAGGCTTATACAACTAATAAGTGATTTATTTTTTATATTTTAGGGGTGTGATGGGTCCATTTTGTTAGACCAGAGTGGTAACATCACACAGAGCGAGAAAAATGCTGCTCCCAACTTCAGATCCGTTCGGGGCTTTGATGTGGTTGATAACATCAAGAGCTCCATCGAAAGTTCATGTCCTGGAGTGGTATCTTGTGCTGATATTCTTGCCCTTGCAGCAGAATCTTCTGTGTCCTTGGTAATTCATTTACAATATTTCCCTTTTCCTTAATATATAATATACACAAAAAGAGTGTTTGAAAATGTTTATACAAAACTTGTGAAAGTAACTTGTTAGTTCTTTTGAGATTATTTTAATGTTTTTCTTCTCAAGAGCCTAACTAAATGAGTTTTTTGAACTTGTTTCTATGAACCTTAAATTAAAACTTATGAATTCTTGACGAATGCTAAACAGTAAGTTAAGGATACTGATTAGAAAATACAAATGATATACTTTATAATAAAATAATACTTCATTCAAATTCTTGATACAAAAGTTTGGCGCCAAGACTAAACTTGAATAACAATTCCAATACAATTGGATTGTTTAGTCAATTGCATCCAAAATCAATATTTTAAGAGTTTGAGTAAAATATGTAATCTTTATTGTATATACAGCGAAGTGGATATGAAAAATATATATATATATATATATATATATATATATATATATATCAATTACCATCTGTATACTAAATAATTATTTAGAGTGAGATGAGAAATAGTAAAGTGTAAATGAACTTTGCAGTCAGGAGGGCCTTCATGGAACGTACTACTGGGAAGAAGGGACAGTCTAACAGCAAACCAAGCGGGTGCCAACACTTCCATTCCCTCTCCATTTGAGACCCTCGCCAATATCACTTCCAAATTCTCTGCAGTTGGCTTAGACACAACTGATCTCGTTGCATTATCTGGTAACTTTAAAAAAATTTGAAGTTAGAATTCATTAACATTGTTTTTTCTTCACAATTAAGTGAATATATTTTAGTAACTATGAGTATTAATATACACTAATTTTTCTATTATATAAAATATTTTGATACGTTACATTTTTAACGTAATTTAAGAAAATTAAGATTAGAACAAGCCATGTAATCTTTAATTTTTAATTAGGTGCGCATACATTTGGTCGTGCCCAATGCCAATTTTTCTCCCAGAGGCTGTTCAATTTCAGTGGCAGTGGAAGCCCAGACCCAACCCTGAACTCAACCTATTTGGCCACTCTGCAGCAAAATTGTCCACAAAATGGGAATGGGTCTACATTGAACAACCTTGACCCATCAACCCCTGATGCATTTGACAACAACTACTTCAGCAATCTTCTAATCAACATGGGTCTTCTCCAAACTGACCAAGAACTCTTATCCACCAATGGCTCTTCCACAATCTCCATTGTTAACAACTTTGCCAACAACCAAACGGCCTTCTTCCAAGCCTTTGCTCAGTCAATGATCAACATGGGTAACATTAGCCCTTTAACTGGAACCCAGGGTCAAATCAGAACCGATTGTAAGAAAGTCAATGGAAGTTGAAAAGAGAGAGAGAGAGAAAGTATAAATTTATGAGTATTTTTGGTGTTATTTTTAACTGAAAATAAATTTTTATCTCAATAATTATTGAGATAAAATTTTAATTTTGATTTAAAACAAGCACCAATGATACTTGTAAGAAATTGTATCAAAAAGTTACCTTACCACACAGTCCACAAGGAATTCTAGAATTTTGATTTTGCATTTGTGTATGTGAGAGTGAAATGGTTAAGAAATTTGCAACTGAGTATGTTGTCAGGGCATTAAATATAGTTTTTATTTTTGGGTTTGCAAATTAATGGGACTACAAATTGGTTAAGAAAATTAATATGCCTTCTTGGTCTTGTATTGTTCTCTTGTTTCTTTGGAAATACTGTTATGTTTCAAGTGTTCCTTAATAAGAATTTTCCACGTGTATTCTTCTGGTATTTTTCTTTTCTCCCAGCAGCTAGTAGCTCATATTACCATTAATTAGGTGTCAAAACATTATTTAATAAAACAAATTCATGTAATTGTTATCAAAATGGCTATAAATAAATATAAATTTGTATGAAAATATCAAACTCTCGAGAAAGTAATGCTGCATTTGCTTCTTCCGTTTGGGTCAAGCGACTCACAGCAATTAAGGAAAACACAATAAAGTTGTATTGAAGTCTTAGATCGACGACCGAAAGAAAAGGGATTTGCTTCATTACAAATGATATCCCTAAGTTACTATAATCTATTAAAATATTAGCAAAAGCAATAATAGAGTTTATCTGGGACACTAGAGATTAAGCATCTATCCAATTGAACCATGCCAAATAAACAAACTAATTTAGACCTTGTAGCAACTTTTTATAAATACTGACTTTGTGTGCTTCTTCTATTTTTTATTTAATATATTAAGTTGTGTTTTTATTTATTAATACTTTATATTTATTTAAATATTTATACCATTTTATAATTCAAAAAAACTATTAATTAAATATAAATAAGTAAATTTAATATTTAATTTTGATATTTATACCATTTTAAATTTATATTTTTTTTTCTAAATAAACAAACAATAACATAAGACTATCAAATATGTGGATTAAGTAAAATTGATCTAACTTAACATTTAGTCTAGATTAATATTTGAACTTGAATTTAAGTCTCAGCAGATATAGTTGTATTAAATATTTAAAAAAAAAGGTTTTAAAAAAATATAATATATAATCTTAATAAAAATAATAATAATAATAAAGTCCTCCTTTGATTTGAATTATATAAAAATATTATATGTTTGCGTTCCTTATACAGTGAACCCAGTGGATTGATTGCCGCCCCAAGTTACGACTGAGTTGAGTTGAGAATTTTCCTTTACTCGTCAAAGTGTGTGGGACGCATTTTAAGCTATTAAAATAATTAAGTGATACTCTTTTATTTTAAAGTTTCTTAGATTTTTAAAACAGAAGACCTACATGTTCAATGAAAAGTTCAAACTATAATTTTATATAAGAAAAAGATTTACTATTCGCAAATTTATATTAAAATGCAAGTATAAAAAAATTCAAACATTAAGATTTTATTATGTGTAGTCAACAAAACCCTAGATATCAAATCATTTAATATATTTTTAAGTAAAAAATACGTGTCCTTTTAATATATATATATATATATATATATATATATATATATAAGAAGAGGTAATGTTTTATGTTAAAACGTATTATATTGAATAAAATATAAGTAATTTAAGTTTGATTTTTTAATATGTTATTAAAAATTTATCTATTTTTTTTTCACTAAAAAGAATTTATCTACTTTTAATGTTTGACAAAAGTTTCAGTTTTACAAGTTTTATCGACAAAATATCAAATTTTTAAAATGAGTATGTTAAGATATCTGTTAAAAATACAATCAAGATATTCCTTATCTTTGAAGAAAAAGAGAGTTATATATATTTTTTACTGTGAAATCACTAAATAAAAACCAAAAGAACAATAACACATTTAAAGTAATTTGACACTTATTGTCTACGTTAGCATACATCCAACATAATATTATTATTTTAGAGTTTTTGGCCAAATAAAATTTAAACCTTTTTTTTTTTGTTAATTTTTGTATAGAGGCAAAATTGTAAATCCACTCTTAATACATAAATGCTTAAGTATCTAATAGTGTATCATGTCATAAATTTATAATAAAAAGTACTTATAATAATAAATAGTCAAATTAATAACTAATACATTAAATGAATTAATCTATCCACTTATATAGGTAATAGTTAAGTATTTTGTTAATTCAAATCATATAATAAATAAAGAAATAAGGGAATAGAAAGAATTTGGCAATTATTACTTCTAAAAATTAGTCTTTAATTGTTTTTTATATCTTTGACAAAAGATTAATAGTGTTTTTTTTATAAATAAGATCAAAGAGAGTATCTTATATGATTAGTCCATTTGTTTATATATTTAATTGAACACAAGGCATAGAAAATATTATATCTTTCAAAGTCTATTTTTATTTTTTAGATACTCATGCAAACTTTTTAAAAATAAATATTTCATATTACTTTATTGAGTATAGTCATTCATTTCATAATTTAATTCTATTAAAAGATGTATAAATATTACTCTTATTATATAGAAGAATCAAATCACAAAATTACTCATATTATCCACATAATTGATTCAAACTTCAAATTTTATAATTACATTGTTACAAGTTGTATTTGATAAGTTTAAAATATAAAATTCTTCATATAAAATTTATAATAACTTCCAAACAAAGAGCCACATATATAATTATTATATTAAAAATTATTTATAATACTCATGCAATGATTTATATAACATCTTGTTAAAAAAATCATTCAAATACATTATTGTTACTTATATCCATTTTTATGAGTACTCGATATATTTCATATCTAGAATTTATGAGATTTAATTATCAGCTTTTTAACATTTTAAAAATGATATTAAGTAAAATCTCATAATCAAGTCATTTAATTAATATTATATAAAATTATATTTAATATTTTAAAGATATTATTTTATTATTTTTAAAAAATTTTAAAATGCATTGATTTATTAAAATAAATAATTATGATATAAATATTATATTCATAGCATATATAAAAAATTCTGCTACATACAATAATATAAATAGACTATATTTTCTAATATTATTCGAGGTATAATTTCCTTAGAATTGAAATTTTATTTAATTCTTGTATAGAACTTTATAATGATACACTTTTCACCATGGAGGGAATTTATAATAGGTTTTATACGCGATTGATAAATTCATTTCAGCTTTGTATTTTATTTCATTTTAACCTCCATTGGCAGAAAAAAAAATATTTTTGTAAAAATGGCATGTAAAATGTGCAAAATGGTATTATGATTAGTGATAGACACAACAGGGAAAATTTAGTGTTTATCTCTCTTACCCTCAATACTTATTAGTAATAGACTGTTTAAATCGCAAAAGAGGGACTAGTTTCTATGAAAATCTTTGTTTTAAACTCTTGAAGAGCACTTTATAATAATCCAGCCCTCGATTCTTATATTTTCACTTCTTCCATATTCCACTTTGGAAGAAGAGGTCTCAGGATTTAGTTCAGCTAAATAGTGGAACGACAATGCACAGAGAACAGATTCCTTGTTGAGTATGATTTTGTGGTAGCACCCCAAGATGATGTAGTGAGTATAAGACAAAATAGCATAGGTAATAATGCTCCTTTGGTAAGGGATAATCACAAGTTGAATCGCTTTTGATCTGAGACCAAAAGCTCATAACTTTGACTTATGCTAAAAGGTGCATAAAAGCATAATAGCAAATCATTGGGCAAAAACCAAGAACATTTAAACAACAACATCCAATTGAAGACACGGTTTCTTTTCAATCGTTGGTGTTATCATCAATTCAGAGAATCAAACGAACTCCGCTGTAAAAATAATTCCATGGTGTCCCTGTCAACATCCTCTTCCAAGAAGAGAAACAATGGTTCAAGAGTGTTTGATATGGATAGTGGAGATTACTGTGATCCAAGGCGAAGACGTTTCAACTTATACAAGTTTGTTCTAAGTGCTATCCTATCCTTGAACATGCCAGATGATACATTCCAACACCTTTGTAAGTATGCATTCCATACTTTCTGTGGCTTTTTATATTTGTTAAAAGTTCACCTTTTACTTCATTTTTTGGGAGATCTAAAATGACTTTAGGAGGCTTAGAGTTATGTCCTTTACATGCTATAAGATCATCGTCGTTTAAGAATTAAATCGTTCTAGTTCTTCTCATCCAGAAACTAAATTTTGTTGTACAAGTAACAATACTGTATCCTACTTTAGCAGTTATAAAAAAAGGGTATTTTGTGTGATAAGAAGGGTTTTAGAAAGAGAACCTAATAATTCATATGGAGAACTTTTGATTTCATATTCTTAAGAGCAAAAGACTCTACATTAAAACATAATCCAGCTACAACTACTCATTTGTTCAAGGACCAAACTACCCATCTTAATTTGTGGCACTGTAAAATTTTGTTACTAGGCTTTATTTAGCCTTTTGTGTTGATATTCGAATCTAAATTGCAATGGACCATATATTTTACTGTGTTATTAAGTTGATCTCGTGTCTTTGTAGGACATAGTTATCTTGTGCGGTAAGGTCAATTGCAATTAAAGTTCCTTGTTCTAAGATATCATTTTCAAATAATGTAGGTTGTGCTTCAACATAAGATGATATAATTGACTATTAATTATAGATATAGTTGGCTAGTAGATACTCCTTCTCTTTGCAATCTGAAATAGTGATTTGAACGTCCATCTTATCTTCTCCCTGTGCCTCTGATAACCTTGTTTGATAGGACCCACTCTTAATGTTGATGATTTAAAGCGAACAATTAACCGCTCTTGAGAAAACATATATCTATCATTTATCTTTCTATTATAACAACAATAATATACAAAAACTGAGATATAAGTTATTGAGATGCCATCAACCCTCTTTATACATCTATTATTTAA